TTTTAGAATCTGTACAAACGCTCTAAAATCCATGAAATAATGGCTAGGCCAGGGCTCTGCCAAACGGACAGCCGAATACTCGCCATCTATGCCAATCACTCAAATGAGTAAGTTAAATGAGTAACCCCGTTCCCAGGAGACCACAAAAGGGTATATACTTTTCGTGTAGCTGTAGGGTAAAATAATATCAGTCAGCTGAGCAGATCTACCAATGTCTGTGGTGGTAGAACCACCGTCATGAACACACACCCTAATATACCCGAATTGTCACTTGATACGCAGTTGCTGCGATCAAGCTCTAGCACTGCGTCTCAGTTTTTGCATTACTTCATTATCTTCCTACTCCCCCACGCAAAGCGACAGCACGAGCATGCATCGCCTTAGAAAGAACGAGAGCGGAATAGCAAAGTCTTCTACCTGCCTACGTTCAGCGGCCGCAACAACAAACTTATCGCTCTCGCAATCAGTTACTCTCTTGGGCTTCGGGAGCGAAATGCTGCGCTTGCCCATTCGTGTTGGGTGGGAGAGCAACAATTGCGTGCGCGCTCTCATATGTAACTTGCTTATCAGCAGCAGATCTTGCGCTGCATTTATTTTGTGACTTTTTGGGCAGAGCATTGCGCACTGTGGAACGAGTCAAGCTGTAATTTCAACAATTAAATACTACATATATTATTAAATATTAAATAGTAATATTAAATATTATATTATATTAATATACTATCATTATAGCCAGTATAGGAGTATTTAATTCTCTCTGTTTAAGGGTTTGGCATTTATTCCCATAGAAAATTTCCCAATGAATATGCTTCCATAACATATGTAAGTTTCCACTGCTTTGCTCTCTGTGTTTATAATCCCCTAATCTTTGTAGAGTATAAAAGTTTCCTTCAATTTAACGAGCTCTGTATGTATACGCCTCTGTTGCCGCCATAAAGGTTAACATAATGCTGCCCTATAACATCACACAATCACCCACTTACTGGGCAGAGAGAGAGAGAGAGAGGCGAGGCGGCAAGAAGGCAAAAGGCTTACACGCCCATAAACCTTTATGTTTTTTCAATTGAATTGTCCCGAATGTCAGAGCCAAGCAGAAGGTGGAATGAATCCTGGGCATGGATCCTTTTTGTTTGTTTTTTTTTTTTCTTTCTTTTTTTTTGTTTTGGGTGCGGGGGTAATAAAATTTGTTGCCGCTTGTCGCCGCCATTGTTCTACGAGGCGCGATTTTATGGCCAAAACGTAGGGGAAAACTTCTGGAAAAACCCCAAAAGAACTTTTTGAAGAAAAATTATAGTTTTGAGAGTCCGTTGGGTATTAAAGCTAAACGATGCTCGGGAAAATTGTGGGAATTTTCTGGCTGTGAGTGGGTGGGTGGGGGGAGGCGAGGTAAATATATTTGAAGGCAATTGTCGATTGGAGTTGAATGGTGGGGAGGGTGGCAGGCATTGTGTCCCTCAGAAGTCAACAAGGCGGCGCAACACGCGCAGGCCACAATGGAAGGGCACGTACACATCGAAGCGATACGATTGTTGATTGGTTGAATGTGCTTATATATGTCGTACCTATATACATACATAATATATATATATATATGCGAAATCCACTTTTGTCCATTGATTGACTTTCAGAATCGAAATTTGGAGACAAAAGGCTGGCAATACTCCGGGAAAACAGCTTGCAATTGACAGCAAAAGCAAAAGCAAAAGCAGCAGCAGGGCAGGGCGGGGCAAGTGGCGGGTCATGTGGCAGGGCAGCAAAAGCCAGGAATCTATCATCACAAGTGCATTATAGATGCAACACAATGCACAATGCAGGGGGAATATCGGTGTACATATGTATGTATATTTGCCTCATGTGTGCATTTTGGTGCATGAAAAGATCGTAGGCCAAGGGGTGCTTGGGGGCATGCAACAGCAGCACACATTTTGATAATCATCGAGAGATGATGATGGAGGCAGCAGCAGCAGCAGCAGCAGCAGCAATTGTGAATCGATTGTTATTGGTTTATGTATCCTGGATCCTGGCTTGAGTGCAGTGTTAAACAATTTATAAATTTAACCCAAAATGGAAAAACACAGCAATCGGTTTCGGTCAGAGAAAACTAAAGGGTAAGCCACCCAGAATATTCAGTTCCATTTTATGGGCAGCAAATAAACAGTTGAATATTCGCTTAAGCAGTGAGAGATCTCTCGCTCCGCTTTCGAAATTGCTTTTTTGTGTGTAAGGAAAATGGCTGAAAATACATGCGCTTCACAGGAGATGGATCTGGAGGAGAATGCTGCTAACCAGATGTTGCAGGAGCGTCCCTCGAACGAGACACTGAAGGAGCATCCTGCCACGAACGAGACTTTGGAGGAGCAGCCTTCCACGAGCGAGACACTGGCAGATAAGGCCCTCAAATGTGCGGAGGGTGTGCAGCTGGACTACACAGATGCAGCAGATATGCAGATGTCAATCGCCGTCGAATTGGCCAAAACGCGGGCCAACTACGAGCAGATGCTGGTCATGTGCAAAACTACATTGGGGAATCATGTGCAAAGTCTGTCGGAAAATGTGCCCGAAGGCGTTTCACTGGCGGGACTGCAGCGCGGCGCCGAAAAGATGCTGGAGGTGGGCACTGTCGTCTATCGTCTGTTGGCGCAGGTGTCTTTGATATGCCTGCACGAGGATCGGCAGCAGCAGGAGCAGGGGCAGGGGCAGCAGGAGCAGTCGCAGTCACACCAATAAATACACATAAAGATACATGGATACACGCGTACATAGATATATACACCCACACACACACACACACACACACACATCGTTCATTCAGCAGCAGCAGCAGCACAAATAAATTCACATTAAATCCACACAAAAATTGAAGGAAAAACTTTGACGTTTATTTCTCAGATACAAATGTTTGAAGATACATTCCATTTCATGTAGCTGCAACATCGTGCAGCCATTCCATACCATACCATTCCACGAATTCCCTTAAGTTTTGCTGATTTTTTTACTCACTCAAAAGTATCTTTTGGGGGATTATTTCTTTGGCAAACAGTGGAAGCGGCGGCTGGCAATGCTCACATCAGAGATCAAATCTGCCGCAAAATGGGGCACGTATGCAGACAGTAGGGGGTGGTGGGGGCTAGAGCGACTGTGCATAAAGAAGTTCAAATGGAGATTGGGAGATACGAGATACGAGAGATACACTCGTGCCACTGTGTGTGTTGCATAAGAAAATTGGGCCACCATTTGCTAGTACATAACTTTTACTAACCTTTGGCGCGGAGGCGCCACCTCCAGAGTTAGAGCCAGAGACAGAGACAGGGACAGAAAGAGAGAGTAAGAGTGAGAGCACACACTACCGTTAGCGAAAGTACAGTAACTGCACTTTCAGACACTCACAGATAAAGAGAGAGTGGGAGAGTGGAAGAGACGAAAACGGAAGCGCTAAAGCAGCCATTTTGCTGGCAGACACAAAACACATAGAAGAAATCCCACAATTTATTAGCAGAGACGAGCGACAGAGATTTCTCTGCAGAGTGAGAATAAAAAAGAGAGAGAGAGAGGGAGAGAGGTTGAGAGTGCAGAGCGGGGTATGATGGTTATTATAAGGCACAGAATAAAGATATAGATTTTGTATGTGCTTATATATTATTCATGGCATTAGGCAAGATTTTTCATAGCTAAAACCAACCGCAGATAATGCGAAAAAAAAGAACATAAAAATATTAGAAAATACTTTATAAACGGTATTTTATTTGTAATTGTTAAATTAATAAAATCCATTTTTTAGCCAGCTAAAGATTTTTGCAAATTCCGTTGGAGAATAAATAAAATAAATTTAACTTTTGGCTCCCCTTTTTTGCTGAGCTGCATTCAATTTGGTGAATTTTTGTAGTATTTTTAGAGCTAAAAGTGTATCAAAGTCTTCGTGGAATTTCGCGGTGCAAAATGCTACGTAGAATTTTCGCCAATTTTTATTTACAGAGATTTCAATCAATGTCCTTGAACTAATGACACAATTTGCTGCTGAATCTGTATCACTGCCTCCCCCCCACCACAATCTCTCTTCCCCGGCGTCTTTCTCGTGTATCTCTATATATTTTTCTATAGTTCTCCCCCTGCTAATTCTACTGTCACTTTGCATTTATTCTGGTTCACTTTTTTATTTGCTATTTTTGCTGTGTGTATTTTTAGCCTTCGTTTTTCGCTTGGTTTTGCTCCTTCCAAAAGTCAGAAATTGTTTTGCGATGAATAAAGAGAGTAAACAAACGTGTAAATGTCAAATACACACACACATATATATATTCATTGTGGAATTGGGGCTGCAAGAGATATACCAAGGGGGTTTTTTCCCCCTAAGATACGAGCCCTGGTTACGCAGCAGGAAAGAAAACAATTTAACGCAACGGTAGATAAACTTTTCTTAAACAGAGAGAGAGAGAGAGAGAGAGAGAGAGGCTCAAAACAACAACAACAACAAACCAGAAATGAGGACGATTTCGAGTGTCCCACCAGTCCTCCTCCATTTCCCGATCGCAATTCTCCATAGAGACAGACATTTATATGTGTGTGTGCTATGCCCTGTAATTCTGTGTGCATTTTGGGGCTATATTTAAATCGTTTAAATATTATTTTCCATACCAACACATGACCCAAGAGCTGGAATTATTTGTATGATAATTTGTGGTTATTTTTTCTATTTTTTCTTGAGGTATTTATCTAGCATAATTTACATGTTCTCCAAAATTTAAGACCAAATCGGATACCCTACAAACCAGCCAGTATCTTCCGTAAGTTTTCAGGCTGGGTATCTCCAGGGTCGACCCACTGAACGCAAAGACCTTTGGGCCCCTCTTGGGTTTTACTTTTATTGTTGTTTCGAGTTTTTGAACCGAAATGAGCTTTCAAAAATGTTTTATGCCCCATTTTCTGTTCTTATGCAATGGATTTTTAAACCTCTATTTTCCTCTCTCTCTGTCTCTCTCTGTCACTCTTTGTGTCTTTTCGTGCAGAACCCATCACCGAGGTCATTGGCGGCCCCGACCTGCACATCAACAAAGGATCCACCATCAATTTAACCTGCATTGTGAAATTTGCACCGGAACCGCCGCCAACCGTCTCCTGGTCCCACAATCGCGAGGTGAGTGTGCCCGCCCGCCCCCCACCAACAAACCCGCAACTAAAACAGAAAAAGAAAAAAAAATGCCCGCATAAAAAAAAAAAGCACCACATGACAGGTGCACGTGTATATGGGGGATTTATACATATACGATATATGTATATATATATGACAGTAAAAAGAGAGCGAGGGATAAGAGCAGCATCAATAATTATGTTTGACAAGGGTCCGCCTGTCTCACTCCGCCACTCCGGCCCTGCCAGAGACAACTTACACTTTTTACGATTATTAGTTCACGGCGGTAATATTTATTTCCTTTGCCCCGAAAACCAAAGAACACACTCCAACAGTCAAGGGACTCAACGAATCAACAACAAACATTGTCAAAGATTTCTTTAAATTCTTAAAAGTATTTTTGATATTTTTTAGGCGGGTAGGCAGTGTATAAAATACCGCGGATATACAAAAATATATAGGAAATAAATATATAGAGAGATTTTCCATAGCCGATAAAATTCTATAAATATACCAACAAAAATCACTGAACCCGACAAATAAAAAGTTAGACTCCTAAGCCCAAAATCATAGCGAAAAAATAAGTCACAGCTTTAGGTCATAGCTTGCCACTCTAAGCCATCTTAAATTCTTCGTCCATCTTTCTACAACAACAACAACAACAAAACAACAAAAATGCACTTAAGTACCTCAAAAGCTTCGAAGAAATCTACAAAAAAATAGAAAAAGAAAAAAAGAACACACAACACATATTAAAGCCCTTAAAAGTGTGCATTTTTCAAGACTTTCTAACTCTTGAATTTCGATTTTTAACTTTTAAATTTCCATTACAGAATGATCCTAGATACAATAAGGTACAATATCCACCAACGCATCGGTGAAGCTTTTACATTTTTCTTTATGATTTCCTGTTTTGCTGTTGTAAATCCTGCATCCTGGCTGCTCTTTTGAGACTTAAACGACTGTCATTAATAAAAATTTAAATAACATGAGCTCTGGAGAGCCACAGACTCGGTCCCCGTCCTGGTGCCGGTCACGGTCCCTACCCCTCACCCCACCATCCCTCGCTCCCAGCAAAACCCCAAAAACTGTAGAAAATTTCGTAGAGCAGCAGCAGTGCCAGTGGCAGCAGCAGCAGCAGGCGGCAGGCAGCTCCTGAAACTTGTGTGTGTGTGGTACTAAGCTCTGTTATTTTTTTTTTATTTTTTTTTTTTTTTTCTCTCCTGTTTCGGGTGTTATTCATTTCAGGTCATAAATTTCGATTCACCTCGCGGCGGCATATCATTAGTCACCGAGAAAGGTGTACTGACCACCAGCCGTCTCCTTGTCCAGAAGGCCATACAGGAGGATGAGGGCCTCTACACATGCGCCCCCTCGAATGCCAATCCCACATCGGTCCGCGTCCATATCGTTGATGGTAAGTAGAGAGCCAGACAGACACACAGTGTCCGAGGAGCGCTGCGTGTGTCCTGTCCTACAATGCAAAAGAGCGCCCTATGTATGTACCTTTTCTTCTCTTTTTTTTTTTTTATTTATTTGCTTTGGTTTGGTCGAAACGAGTGTATGGTGTATGTCCGAATGAGGAAGATCCTGGGCTATGGGGTTCCCTTTTTTGGGCCTGGGTGGGCAGGGGCGGGTGTTTTCAGCAAGACAAATGTGCGGGCGCCCAAAAGTCAACTAAGCTTTGGCTTCGGCTTTATTTGACAGACGAGCAGAGCAGAGTGGAGCAGTGCAGAGCGGAGCAGTGCAGAGCGGAGCGGAGCGTTTCCTCCGGTGATTGACGACAACTTTTTCCTACACTTCCTACGCTGCGGGGAGACGCCATTAAACATAGAGAGCAAGAGAGCGAGAGATTGGTGGAGACATTACTAGGGGGCAGAGAGCAATCCCTGGGGGCAAACGACTCGACCAACAATTAGGTGTATAACTTTTGAGCGCTGGACCGCAGTGGAAATGCAGTTTCCGCTTCGAGTGTGTTAAAAAAAAAAAAATTCTAGAAAATACCAAATATACTGGAATGAGAATTTATATATGGATTAAATTTGTTTTTGAAAATGTTTTCAGAGTTTTCAGAGTACAAAAATGCTAGAAAAATACGAAAATTAAATTCTATAAAATACTACTAAATACTTCTAAAAATTGTGGAAAATACCAGCAAGAGATACTGCATGTATTGTAACGTACATACATATTTAGTACTTTCTGGTATTTTTTTTATTGTAATTTCTGGCGGGTTTATATGGTTTTTATTTTTGAATACTGCTTGTTGTGAGATTTCTGAGAAATATTGGCAGAGATTTCTGAATGCAGTGAGAGAGAGAGACGAGACTCATTTTTCTAAACACAATATGTAGTTTGGTCTGACTTTCCAGAGGAGTTTATAAGCTTTGGTGGTGATTCAGCACGATCTGGGTGCGACGGTATGTATATTAAAAAAAAAACGTTTAAACCATTCAAAACAAACAAAAAACATTCTCCACATTCGCTCGTTTCATCTTCATAAATGTCTTCTATATACACATAAATGGGTTTTTGTGTTTTTTTTTGTTGTCAACAAGTTTTAGGGCAAAACAAAGAAAAAGTCATGGGTTTTTGCTTAAATTGGAAACCCCATTCTGACAAAATGTCCCTAAATCGTACATACACAAAAAAATAGATAATGTCCTGTTGTCGAAATTTCGGAAATGATTGAGCTACACAATTGGTATTCTTGTTTTTGGTTGGACATTATCTAAAATGGCAGAAGTTGATTGGCATACGAAAAAACTTCCACCAACAATATTTTGTTAAATCTTTTTTTTTTTTGGATTTTGCTGTTGTTGTAAAACTGTAATTAGTTAAATTTGTAGCTTTAAGATCGTATACGTATTTTGACTTAATTCTAGTGCTTAACAAAAATTGATACAAAATTCTGTGTGTTTCAAAAAATTGGTACAACAATTGGCTCTCCTTACGCAACAAAAGTATTCAATGTTTAAATAAACATAACCGATTCGCAGGTGTATTATTTAGTGTTTAAGAAATATATTCTTTTTTATTAATTAAAAAAATGTAATCTCATTTAAGCCCGTTTCATAGGCATTGTATTGAAGCGCTTCTTATCCGATAAATATTTTGATTGCAAAACATATTTAATTTAATTCGGTACTAAGACTAGGAATGGACTTTTGGTACATCTATATATATATATTTTTTTTTATATTTATATTTTTATATTTTTATATATTTATATATTCTATATTTTCCCACAAACAGATTTTCCTCTTAAATTTTGAACAAGAAAACCAACGTTATGAAATATTTTTGTTTAATGTTCTTTGGGGGAATCCAGCGCCTTGTAGCTCCTCAATTTGTAGCCCAAGTATTAGCCAATATACCAAGAAGCAGAGCCACACACAAATTCATAGATATGTATGCACACACACAAACACACATGGAAAAGTCAAAGAAAATTAGTTGAGGAAAAAGTTGGAGCATCAACATTTGCGCAAGTTTTGACTCGTTTATGCCACAGACGCCGCAGCCACTGTGTGCTGAGCTTTGGATGGTTTTTGGACTCGAATCGACTACCCCCACCGCCCCCAACGCCCCATCATTCCATCTACTTAGCCGGGTTTCAGGCGCCCATCCGCCTTCCGGCTTCCGCTGAGGCCGGAAAAAAGCGCTTACAAAGCAAAAAGTTTAACAACTTGAGCGCAAATGACTTTGGCGTGTAAGCGGCACGCTACAACAAATATGCCCCTGGAATTAGACTAAAAATAACAGCAACAGCAACAGCAGCTGACACTCTGGCAAAAAGGGCCAGAAGCAGGAGGCAGGAGTAACGAACAGCAGGAGAAGTGGCAGCAGTGGCAGCAGTGGCAGGAGTAGCAGTGGCAGCAGCAGTAGCACTACCACGCAGTGGTAGCAAGCAACTTGTTAAGTGGAACAACTGCTGAAACTTAAGTAATTAACACAAGTTGTTTGCGCCCCCCCAACGTTGCCACAGGGCCAGTGCCACACAGCGCCATGGGACATGGAGATTGATGGGGTAGCAGGGTGGCAGGCCAGCGGGACGCTTTCCACCACATTTCCAAGTAGTTTATTTAATAAAAGTATCTGACTACCCGAACCCCCACCGAACCCACGCAGCAGAAAGCCAAATTGAAATCGACACAAAAGCCATCCAAATGCCAGCAAAATAGAGAGATCAGTCGTGGCCCTTCCCACCCCTCCCCGCCACGAAATAAGGAAGACTTCCCATCCGTTTGCAGCATTCCACTTTGAGCATCGAAGCATAACTAAGAAGGTAAATGAGTGTTTTTTTTTTTGGGGGTGCAGAGCAAACGGGGAAAGTACTTGCGACCGCAGAGAAGGCAGCGCCAAGCGCCAGCCATGAGGTCCGATACGGAGAGGGTAGTGTATCTGCACTGCCATCTATTGTACATATGGCAAATGTTTATTTATTCACAAGTATCTCTCAGATGCACAGATACTAGTTGGCATAGAAATGCAGCCAAATTTAGACTTGATCCTATCTGAGACTTTTTCGTTTTTTGATGCGAGATGGAAGTGATTTTTTGTTGGTATATTTATTTTGTTTTTTTTTTGCTGTTAATATTTCAAGATCAGGTAATTTTCTGGTGTATTTCTTAATATATGTACATACATACATATATACAAAAATTTATTTTATTTATTTTTTATTTATATTATTTATTTATTTATATATTTTTGATGTCATGTTTTATGTATTTATATTATATTTATTTTTTATTTATATTATTTATTTATTTATATATTTTTTATGTCAGAACTACACTGCCAGTAGCTTTTAGTATTTTTCTGACATTTTTAGTATTTTCTGGCAAGGGTGACCATATGTAATTTTTCTTTCAAACTTGCTTCCAATTGTGGAAGCAAAGCCCCTGTTCCTCTGTTCACTGTTTTTCCAATTTTAAGATTTTATTCAGCAGGAATACCCTTGAAAAAGTTTCCCCACTTTCAGTTAATAAATCAGCGTTTCCAAAATATATAGAATATATCTATTTTCTATAGTTTCTCCACTCAGTTGCGTGGCTTCATTCACTCATTCATTCCCTCACTGATTCCCTTTTGTCTGCTGGTTTTCCCTTTGCTTTTCTCTCCTTTCAAATCAGAGTTCACTCGCATGTCCTTAAGCTTTGGTTTGTCTTCGGTCTTCTGTCGCCTTGAGCGCCATTATATAAATACTCGTACATACATATGTATGTAGCTTAGTTATTGCATTATTGATATTGTCTGCCGCTTCTTGCAGCATCAAAGCCAAAAACAAAAGCCGCTTACTGCCGTTGGTTGTCCTTTTTTCGGGGCGATCATTACACCTAGACGCACAAAAGTCGACTGACATCAAAGTCATTTTCGTTAATTGAACTGCTTCTGGTGTCCTGCAAGCGGCCGCCCACTCGACCACACACAATCCATACGAAACCCCAATCCAATTAAGTGTAGTTTCTATGACGCTTTTATCTGCGCCCACCAAAGAGATGAAGAGTCTGCCCTCCCTTCCGGCCCACTCCCACTCCCACTTCTGCTTCCACTTCCACTCGCTCTACTACTCCTCCATTACTGTCATAAGTGGACGAACGATTCATTGTGTCTCTCCTCCTTTTCTCGTTCTACGGCGACGACAGGCCTTCTTCTCTGAGGCATCGTCGGATGCTTAATTATGTCAAGCCGTATTAACTGAGCACCAGACCAGACGTTCGTGCGTTCCTTTCCACTCTCTCTCCTTTATATCGTTCGTAATTAGTGGACGCTTGGCAGGATGAAACGTTGCTGCTCCGTCTGGTTATTGGCCCATTGTCGTTTAGCATTCGGCATGGAAAACTTTTCAAAATGCTTAGCAGCCAAAGAGCTTGATGGAAAATGGTTTGGGAAATCTGCATTCAGTTCAAAGCAAAAAAAGAGAGCGAGAGATACAGAGAGTGCCAGAGAGAGAGAGAGAGAGAGAGAGACACTTAAGTAACAGCTCATGATGCGGCATCAACGAACTCGTAAAGGACGAACGATGCATGATAATTGAAGCAGCAGTCGCCGCGTCGCACCGAAACACAGACAGAAGACAGAAGACAGGCAGACTCTCCGCGAGCGCATTTCATGCCAAAATTTATGGGTCCCCCGTATCTGCCATCTGTGTGCTCCATGTGCCACCGTCTACCCACCACCCCACAAGATGCCACTCAAGGCAGCCATGGCCCCTGGCTCCTGGCCCCTGGCTCCATATCCAATTCAGTGTTGTCTCCACGAAGAAGTTGGACAGCAGCTGGCATACCCTGTAATTAAGGAGAGAGAGCACAGCGAATGCAACAGATGGCCTGCACACCCAAAAAGGGTATCCCATATTCGCATTGCCCGACTGCACTTTTCGCTCTTGTTTGTTGCTGCCTGTCTGTGTTTCATCTTTTCTGTGTTGTTTTTTTTTTGTTGTTGTTCTTGTTTGTTTTTCTTTTTTAGTCAGTAGCTTGGCGTTTTTATTGCCGGCAATTAAGTTAATAGGCAATAAAGCTTCTGGATTTGCCAGCCATCGCCAGAAGCAGTGCCAGCAGCAGCAGCAGGAGGAGAAGCAGCGGCAGCGGCAGTCAGGGATGCAGAGATACAGATACATCCTTGTATGCAAGCTACCCGCCCTCCTTTGGCATGCAAAGTGCTGCAGCTTTCAAATTAACTTATTTTTCATCACATTTTGGTCACGCCATAGCTGGGGCTGTATGCATAGAAAGACTGCACCAAAATAGTTATTAATGGGGGGAAATACTTGATCAAATATGTGGGGCATTGAGCTAAACAAATTTGCACATAAATCACTCATGAAAATCGGATAAGAAAATCGGCAAAAGAAATCACCCAACAATTGGCTACATTAATATATTAAATATATGTATGTAAATATATTTTTAGTTTATGAATCGGTTATGGATTCAAATTAAAAATCGGATTGCAATCGATTTTAACCAGAGCAAAACTGTCTGCATGAATATGAATCTTGAGATCTTGAAACATAAATTGGAAAATGGAAATTCGATACCTTTGCCACAGTAAAAATGAGCAGTAAAATATTTCTAAATATTAAATGCCTATTTTATATGTTTACCAACTGATTATTCATATTTATTAGCGATGGTTATGAATCGTCTTTGAACATATGATGCAAATCGGTGCGCTAACCGAATCAATAATCTGTGTGTGTTCTTTTCAAAGGTCATTCATGCATCATCGTCCCAAATGCCATTTCCCCAGCACAATCAGAACACACTCTGGACTGTCAGAACGTGTGTGGGGGATTGTGACGACAGTTCTGCCTATTAAATGTGTTTTATTTATTCTATTTATATTTCGTTTTTTTTTTTTTGGTATGGGGTTCTGGAATTCGGCTCAAGCCGAATGAATACCAAAAGAGAGAGAGAGCTCTGCAGCGGCAATGCACCCAAGAGCAAAGTCATTATTTGAGTTTCGATATGGAATGGAAACCACCGCGTAAAGCCCATTTTGAGTGCAGTTTCGCTGCAGAATCTCTCGCAGGAACCCCACACCGTCTGTCTGTGTGTGTGCGTGTGTGTGTTTTTTTTGCATCCCCCTGCTTGCATTTTTGCTGTGTGTGTGTGATGCCTTCGATCCGAATGGCCCCTGGTTGTGATTCACGTTTCGATATTACTTTGCAGGTGAACATCCGGCGGCCATGCATCACGGAAACTCGGCGCCACTCCAGCCACCGGCTTTGATCTCAATGTTGATGCTTATCTGCAGCACTCTGATCCTGTTGCATGCCTCTGCCTGCTGCAGCCCAACCCTACCCAAGATGACGACACAACAACGACGAGGCGGAAACAACAACAACAATGGACAACAGAAGGGCATCAACGGTGGAGAGCGGTTGGAGAGGAATTCATTGGTGCCAGGCACATGACTAGACGGCCCCCGCGTAACCGGAGCCGGAGACGGAAATGCCATCGAAATGCCAACTGGAATAAAATACTAAAAAAAAACAAAAATTCCATGAGCAAGCTACAGCGACAGAGAGAGAGAGAGAGTGCGGCGCAGGAGGGCGGGGGGGTGGCAGGGTTGATGCTGCTCTCTGGTTTTCCGTTCCAGTTCCAGGATCCTTCCAGCCACCGCCTTGGTTTTGCGTTGTCCAAATCGTTTCGTTTCTCCTTTTGTGCCCCCAACACCTCCCATCGATGTGGTCTCTCATTATTCGCTCTATGAGTGGAATGCAGAGGGGGACGGGGCATGCGTGAGTACATCCTTTTTATCACTAAATTAAGTAGTCGTTAGATAAAGTCATTTTGGGGGAAAACTGGAACTGTAACAAAAGGGAAAAACAAAGAGCAAAAAAAAAACAAAAAGAAAAAAAAGAATGAAAAAAAACGAACGAACGATTTTCTTCATGCAACATGTACTTGCGACAAAACCATAAAATACATAAATACATACAGAGAAATCCATTGTAAATAAGGCATCGGATGACAGATTGCCAGCAGATCAACAAATAAAGAAAAAAAAAAAAAAAAAACAAAGATACAGATACAAGTGGGGATACAGATATTGCATTGCATAATGGATTCAGATTGCCCCCGTTTTGAAATGGATCCATTCGATTCTATAAGCTATAGGTGTCTAAAGATAAATACATACTCGTAAATATTACATACCTACATACATATATGCGTGCAAGAACCGAAGCCGAAACCGAAACAGATACAGATACATATAGACAAAAAAAGATAAAAAGCATAAAAGATCCCTCGAAATTTGAGGCAGTAAAAAGGATTTTTTTTTTAGGCTTAAGTTCAAGACTATAGTAAAATCTAAGAGAAACAAAAAAAGAAACGAAAGATGCAGAGCGAAGGAGCAGACAAAGAAGTAGCAGAAAATACAGAAAGATACATAGGTGCGGGATACAGGAGGATTATCTAGTAATGTAAGTAAGAAAGATTAAAAAAAAAAAACAGAAAAACTTAGCATAATTGTATTTTTTTTTTCATATCTCATCAGATCTGATCAGAATAATAATCCGTATCTCTCTCTTTCTGTCTCTATCTATAGAAATTGTTGTTGTATGTGTGAAAACCGATATAAAAGATACATATATATAGAGAAAAGCTACAGATACAGATACAAGTACATAACTATCCGATTAAAAAAGGCATATTGCTATTGAAACTCTCTCTCTCTATCTATCTCTCTCTATAGCTATCTCTATCTCTCTCTCTCTCTCTATATATACTTCGCCCTTCTTCACACACAGACAGCGCACTCACACAGATACACACATAGATACTCTATCTCTAAGCCAAGCTAAAAGAAGAATAAGTTTAGAATGAAAGAAAGAATCCGCGATCCCACCCCACACAAAAGAAGACAGGGTCTAACCCTCCATTCCCCTCTTGATCCAGCCCAAAAACAAAAAAAACAAAAGCAGACAAAAGAAATCCTCCATTTCCCCCCCTTTTTCCAGACCAACCCCTCTCTGTGAACCCATTTCTCATGCTCTTAAGATAGGAAAAAAACAAACAAATAAAAAAGATACATATACAAGATACTCTCCATACTAAAAGCGTAATTACATGGAATATGGCATAACTACATATAAAAAACAAATAGCGCAAAAAGCGTAACAAGATACACGACAAGAACCCAAGACAAAATATATTTTATAAATGTGATGACGTTTAGAAAATTAAAAATTTATTAAATAAACAAAAAAACGAAAAACCAAAAGACCAAAAAACAAATACAAGCAAACAAAACAAAACAAAAGAAAAATTAAACCCAAGCAAAAAACAAAAAAAGACTAAGAGAAATTTCAGCGATATGCAAAGATATTCTGGTGAATACTTTGGAAAATTTCCCCTCAAGATAAGATTATGGATGGGAAATCTACCCTAAAAAATCCCCACATCCCTCCCCACCCCACGAAAACCAAAAATATTGCCCCTCAGCCGGTTCTGCAATATGTGCGTAAAAGAATGGTAGAAAAGTGATCTAGAGGAAGAGAAGGAGAAGGAGAAGGAAAGTCTTTTGGGCTACTTGATGATGGAGGCATGGCACTGCCATATCCCATTATATCAGTAGTCAATTGCAGAGCAGATTCCTTGAGGTAGAATAGGTAGAAAAAAAGAAAGGGTAAAGAGGAGTCGTTGGAGTATATACTATATGCTATTTGATCTACTTGTCCATCATCTAATCGCATTGCACTAGAGAGCCCTAAGCAGCAGAGCAGAACAGAAACAGAAGCATAATGGAGGAAAAAAAAAACTGAATGTAATTCAAAAACCAAAATATAAAAAAAAAGCTACAACCAATTTCTATATATGTATGTATGTATATGTATGTATAAAATAAGGGTGAAAACAAACAAGAAATAAAGTCCATGTTGCAAAACTACGAATAAACAAAACAAAACAAACAACAAAAAAAAGCGAGCGAGCGAGCGTATCATTATAAAATGATGATAATGATACCATTAAACGATAAGCGATAATTAAAAATGTGTTGAACCCCCGAAAGGAATTTATGTTCGATTCGATATGTCTGTATATTAATTTTATTGTTATTATATGGTTTTACCCCCCGCCAGCCTACCCTCAAAAATGAGTTAATTAAGGACAGAAATCGCAACAACAACAACAAAAAAAAAGAACACAAAAGAAAAAGAGAAAATACAATTTTTAATGACATAAATGTGTTAAAATACAGAATTTTAAGGCCGACAAATTGCAAATACCAAAAATAAAAATACAAAAAAAAAAAATTTTAAATGTGAATTAAATATAAAAAAGAAAAACCATACAAAAATAAAATGCCCCGAACAAAATATCTATGGTATATGTGTGTGTTGCCTCCAAAGCGATAAAAAAAAAAAATGGAACACTTTCAAAAATATTACGATTCATAAATAAAAAAAATAAAAAATACAGAAATACTTATACAGTAAAATCAGAAAAAGATCAGATATACAGAATCCATATATAATATGATGCATGCTCGTTCGCAGCACACAACAGAAACAACACCAACAACAACAACAACATCTTAATGTCACAGCAGCCAGCGATAGGCGAACATTGTTTTGCTTTTAAAATGTACCCATAAGCGAAATGCTACATTCGTTTCGGATGATTCTTAATGTTTAGGTATGAAATACATTTATAATATCAATAAAACAAATGTTTTATTGTTCACACATTTCTATATATTATTTAAAGAATCCACAAATATTTGGTATAAAAAAAATCGTCAAATATTATGGATCTTAAATAAAAAACTACCAGAAATTAACTACCAATCGATGGTATCCGATTTTCTACAAGGAGCATCTGAAAGTCATGTGATTGTTTCCCATTTGGAACCTTCCCATATCATTTCGCTTGACAATGATTTTGCTTTCGAATGGAAAGCTGTGGCATGAACAAAAAACACCTCCACTAAGGAGTGATTCCAAATAAAAATGTGAGCGAAGAGAAAAGAGCATGAATACTACGCGATTGCATGAGGTTTTTGACATGAAATCAATAATCGAAACGGAAAGGATAAACACACACAGAAAACACACACAGATACACCAGAGATACACCAGGGATACAGACAAGACAGAGATACAGATACAGATACATAATCCATATACCGATCAAACCGAATACCGAAAAGAGGCATGCAATTCCGAAAAACTATGAATTCAATAAAAAAAAACTGTATAAGAAGCAAAAAAAATAAACATAAAAAGGCTTTTGATTTTCACATTCGAATGGAGGGGGTTTTTCCAGATGGTGCATTCCCCTGAGATGGAGGACATTTTACTTGAAGCATACATTTACTTCGTCATCCTATGGCTGGATGGAAGCACATTCCATCCTCTAGATACAACTACCAGAGAGGTCCTTCCTCTGTGAATGGATGACTGCCTTAATTCAATCGCTGGCCACAGAAATAATTAAGAGGCGCCGAAGGCTGAGGCACAAGTGGTTTTTTCCACAAGAAAATTGTCATTAAGGCACTTAAATTACTTTTCAGGTGCTCAAATTAATGAAGAAATCGATTAAAGGTGTGGATACGGAAAGGGTATGAACAGGGTTGCATGAAATGAGAATTGGAGAGAGCAAAAGAGGTAAGTGCTTCAGGGCAAACCAAAGCTTCCATTTCAATGGAAATTTTAAGCGAAAGCAAGGATAAAGAATGCTTTTGGCATCTCCAGAATCGATTGGAAAATTATCGCTTGTAGAAGCAAAGAAAATAATCTGTAAATGCCAAGCAACAGCTCAAAAATTTAACGAGTCAAAAACAAGCCAAAAGGTAATGAATTTACAAGAAAAATGCAACAGAAAGTTTTAAATTGGGCAGAACCAACGATAAATCATTTTGATAAAAAATAGAGGAAGATGAAAAATAATAAATAATATAAAGTATTGCACATACATATATGTACCTCCAAAAATAGCAAGAAAAGAGTTCGTAGAAAATTCATCTGGAGTTTTTCATCAAGAACTTTAGCAAACCAAAAAATTTATTGAGTGATTTTTTTGGATAGTTTCAGGAACAAGCAGATTCAAAGTCCAAGTTTGGGTTAGATCTAAGGCATGGCCAAGGAACCCATTCAAAAGAATAATCTAAAAGATTTGTAGTCTTTGGAGCGATAGTTTTCCATAGATATACTTTCACTTCGTTCCACGTTGATTGTGTGGCCAATTTGATCGATTGATTTTATTGTCCATTCGATGGTTCATTGTCCACATTCATTCTTGATTTATTGTAATTAATTTTTAATTTACTAGAAGGCTTTAATTGAACGAAACGTTGTCTCTTTGTAAATGTATGTATCTCTCTCCCTCTCTCTTTTTCACTGTTTCCTTCTTTGCATCTCTATCTTTCTCTCGCTATTTTCTGTCTCTGTGGTCCGTGGTGCATCTCTCCTTCTCTCTCTCTCTTTGGTTTTCATTGAATATTTTATTTGATTGCATTTTGCATTGTCAGCATCGAACGCACTGCAGCAGCCCCCCTTTTTTGATGCCCTATTATCGCATGTAGAATAGGGAGTGTATACAAATATGTAGGTAATATATATATATATGTATATTAAATACAAAAACATGTTCTTGGAGGTCTGAACGAATCAAAACAGTTTTTGTGTAATACAATTTATTTTTTTCCTTAACTTAAACTGTATTATCTTTAGTATTAAAAATTTAAAACGTTAGTTCGTAAACTTTATTTTTTGTGGTGTTCGTCCACCCAATCTCCCATATCATATATAGCCCCAGAGCGTGCAGAGTATCTCATGATCGAATCGCTTTACTTAATAGTTCTCTCCACCTTTTTTTCCCCCTTTTTTTGTCGTGTTTTTCGCAGTTGTTTTTTTTTTGCTGCTTGAAACTCTGTGGGTTTTTCCTTTTATTTTTTATTCATTTATTAATTATTTTATTGGTTTTTCATGCCCTGCGACTCTTCTCTTGTTTCTCTCTGTAAATTAATTTACATAATGCATGACACTTTTTGAATCATGGACGCGGACGTGGACATGGAGTTGGGACACGGGACATGGGCCATGGAAGACTCGCCTTGAGCGTTGGGCGGACCATAGCGATGTGAATGGAAAAATGGCCATAAATAACGCCCGGATATCTGTCCTGCTCTCTCGCTCTCTGATGCTCTCCCTCTGTCGCCCTCACTCTCTCTCTTTCGCTGCATATTAACTTAATTAGTTGAGAGCGTTATTTCCTTACTCGTCCGCGTGCCTTCCGCTTCATTCACCCCCCCAACTCTTGGCACTTTTATTTTCGAATTTAATCGCAATTTTATTTAATGTTTTTATAATGAGACACCGAACAGAAAGGGTTGGTCCAACCATCCCTATATGAAATATTAATAATAATATCCCCTGATCAATGATAGGGCATGTGTGCAGGAGATGGAGCAGAAGCAGGAGCAGGAGGGGGGCACTGATGCGATTGAAATCGTTTTGGCAGCATTGTCTGACAGTTTTCATTAAGGACCTTAACGTCGCTCCGTCGAAACAATGTATGCCGTACAGAGAGGACATGGGATAATGCCATGATTGAATCGAAAGCCAATTTTATGTGATTGGATGGAGCGGGCATGAAAGCTTCGCATTGAGCAAAGCATCGCAAGAACTTTCGAAGCTCCCAAAATGTTCGTGACAAAATTCCAGGAAGAATCAAAGCCAAAAGAAGAATAAATGCAACCAAAGAGCGAAAGAATGGGAAACATTAACTGCCTCAAACAAGTGCCAACTAAAATATACCCCTTAAAGTTTCTATGGCTACTAGAGCCCCTCACGAACTAGCCGTAGAATATACCCGAAGTGACACTCGGTACACCTCTGAGTCTCAGTTGCTGCTTTCTCACCCAGAACCACACCACGCACCGCAGTAGAAAGAGAGAGAGCAAAAACGCGAGAGTAAATAAATGGATCAACTTTTGCATCTGCCTACCTGCGCCAGATCAGCGACCGCAATTGCTCTCTCTCTCTCCCTGCACTTGCTCTCTCTCTTCGTCTGTCTGTCAGTCACTTCAGCTTCGAGAGCGAAAAGCAACAACACCTTCGCTTGCACATTCGGTTTGGGTCGGAGAGCAACAGTTGCGTGCGCTTAAATTACGGCAAATGACTGCTGGGGCTATACACTCCAGAATTTATATATGTAAAGATGAGAACATAGACAAGAATATTCCTGCTTTGGCGGTAAGCGGAATACCATGTGCAGT